TTATTTTAATATATTATTTTATTATCAATAAATATCATTCTTACTCATTGAAAAGGTTATTTGAAAAATTGATGTTCATCTTATAATTTATATTAGCTGATCTTACTTTTAATTAGAGCAGTTCTATCAACATGTATATTAATTAGACATTCTGTGTAATTTTATTTAGCGATTCATTGGAACTCTGTTTTTTTCCATATAAACATTTTTCAGAAAAGTTATCAGAAGAAATGAATAAAAATATTCGTTTGATATTGTAGACAACAGCTAGAATTAAAAATTCAATCGTAATATGATTGACTATTTTATTCTATTTGTTGCCATTGTTTTTATGAATTTCATAAAAATATATATTTAAATCTTTTATCTAATAAGTGACAAAATTATTTATATAACATTAAACAAAATCTTTCAAAATGCAATACTATTAGTAATAGTCATTTCTTCTGATAACTTTTCTGAAAAATGTTTATATGGAAAAAAACAGAGTTCCAATGAATCGCTAAATAAAATTACACAGAATGTCTAATTAATATACATGTTGAAAGAACTGCTCTAATTAAAAGTAAGATCAGCTATTATAAATTATAAGATGAACATCAATTTTTCAATTAACCTTTTCAAGGAGTAAGAATGATATTTATTGATAATAAAATAATATATTAAAATAATATTTAATGATATTTATTAATAATATGTAAATTGTAGTTTCAATAAAGACACTAAAACAAGTCTTGGTAGCAAAAATGCAATGTAACAATAAAACAAAATCAAGAAAAAAATGTAATGAGTAACAAAAAATAGTTCTTGTGATCAAAATAAAACATTAGGTGGTGTACTGTATAAAAGTAAAGAATTTTGAACTTTGTTTGTTTATTTTTTTTTTCCTGCATTTTTCTCAAAATCATGTTTTTTGGGCTGGCGACAGAGATGTTTTCAAAACTAATTATCATATTGATTTGAAATTCGGCCCACTTATTATTGTATTAGTATTTACAACATGCACTAGAATAATCTTTACTGCTTCTCTCGTTTAGTATTTTTCAAAGAATTTGTGCCCGTAAATTACCCCATTTTCACCCAAAATTACAAAAATGGTAAATATTTATCGAGTTTTAGACCTAACTTAAATCTTTTAGCTCATGACACAATGACATACATAATATATCATCAGCCAAAATCATAAACAATGAATGGTTGCTAAAAAATCTTCGTCGCCTTTTAACCCATTTTTTGACCCCTGTGATTGATAAATAATTATAAAAATTTTTTTTTCATTTTTTTTTTAATTTTTAAAGTTTTTTAATCATTCTAATAGTATATTATATAATTTGAGGAAAAACAAAACATTTTCAAAGGTTGAATACAAAATGTTTTTCTAATTAATCTCCTATATACGAGATAAAAATGGTTTAAAAACACAAAATGTACAAGTATATAAAATATAAACTTTCATTTTTGAAATACAAGATTTTAAAAATAATGCCAAATAATTGGGTAGAGAGATCATAATGAATGGGTGTGTGTGTGTGTGTGTGTGTGTGTGTGTGTGTGTGTGTGTATGTGTTGGGGTAAAGGGGGGAGGGAGAATAAACCTTTTAAAAATATATATGAAGGATGGGGAGATTTTTGCAGATAATTATCCACAAAGCCGATTTATATAAGTAAACTAAAGTTAATTTAAGTCTTCTTATAATTATCTTAAAAAAACGAGTTTATTTGAGGTGTGGAATAGCAATAAAATAAATTAAACAGCCAAGGCAAAATAGTTAGCGCTCTTGCCTCAGAAGCAAAAAATACGTGGTAGAAAGTCAGCTCTGGGCATTTTTTGCAACACCTATAAGGAAGGAGACGTAAACTTAGTATTTCAATGCTCTCCCGGTTCTCTTTTTTAGACGGTTGGGATTTCTTGGGGTATCTAAAATGAAAGTAACAAAAAAAAAAAAAAAAAAATTATAACGCGGGACACAACAAAATTAAGATTATAAAGGGAGGAGAGTTTATGTGGCACCAAAAAGTGTGTTTTATACTCATCTTTAAAAGACTAAAGAAATTCTATAAATATAAAGAAATTCTGTAAATAGTGTTATAAGACAAGAGAAGTTCTACACATTAAGATTTTACAAATAAAAATACGAATATAAGTAATAAGATTTTTTCTGACTTTTTTTTTTTTTTAATTTTTTTTGAACTTTTTGGATTTTTTGGTTGGTAATATTTTTAATATTTTTAAATTTTTTGGTTGATTTTTTTTTCAAATTAGTTGTTAATTTATGCAATGAACAATTAAAATAACTGCTTTGATTCTTTTGAATCGCATGTAAAATCAGGAAAAAAAACAAGACAGGTTTTAATAGCACTTTGAAAAAACAAGAAATATTAACAAATAATAACACTTTTAAATAAAAGAAATTCTACTGCCCATTAAAAAATTTTTTTTAAACAGTTTTAACTTTTTTTAGTCGTTCTGAAAATAAGTTTAGTCGTTCTAAAAATAAGTTTAGCTGTTCTGAAAATAAGTTTAGCCGTTCTGAAAATAAGTTTAACCGTTCCGAAAAAAAGTTTAGCCGTCTGAAAATAAGTTAAGCCGTTCTAAAAATAAGCCGTTCTAAAAATAAAAAAACAAAAGCAAAATATTATCAGAAACGTTGCTTCATGACTTCAAGACTAAAAACAGTGTTAAAAAGAGGCGTGAAGAAAATAAAAGCTAATTTTCTTAAAAGCGCATTTCAAATTACCCAGCCGTGGCGCACTTGCCTCAGAAACGTGAGATCCTTGGTTCAAACCCCACCTCTGGGCAAGTTTTGCGACATTGGTTGGGAAGAAGGCGTGAACTTCCTATTAAATGCTCTTCTGCGGTGCTCTGTGATAAGACATTAAAAAAAAAAAAAAAAACTACCTTGTATTTTGTGGTGTTTCATCTAGCGGTTTGAGGCTCCGATTCAAAAAATATTATAATAAACTTCATTGATTTTTTTTTATGAATTGAAAATAAAATGTAACATTAACAAACTTAAAAAAATTTAAATTAACAAAAAAATATAAAAATGATATCTACGTAAACTATCTAACAAAATTAGCGTAAACAGAATGATACGCTGTATCCTAGAAGAAATCACTTACGTAAAGAACGTTTAAAAGACGTTTAAAAAACGTTTAAAAAATATTTAGAACGTAACTTTTAAAAACAAATGCTCGTAGGGCTGAGATAAAAACAAAGTCTTCAACGTTATCTTCATTAGATTTAAACTGAAGGTCTTTCTTGGTTCCTTTTTATCAAATTAAATTAATCATAGTTTGTTTTGAACTCGTTTTCCCTCAATATAATGCTTTACTTGTTAAAATTATTTATATTATATGATATTATTTATATTATATTATTTATATGAAAAACAAAAGTATGTATAGTTAAGCATTCTTTATTTTCTCTTATCACCTTTTAATAACTTTCCGAACATAAAATAAACTATTTTGCGTACCATCAACTCCATAGGTGACAAAGCACAGTTTGTCACAAATGGAGGTTCAAAAAGAAATTGTATAAAAATGTGGAAGGTTCAAAAAGAAATCATATAAAAATAATTTTTAATTGGTTTAGTATGTATTTTATAAGAAAACTTTAAAATCAAAATAAAATTCCTAAAATATAAATCAAATTTAAAAAAAAATTTTTTTTGTTAAGTTATATATAATATTTTATAATATTTTTCTTGCATTAAAAAAAATTCTTAAAAAATAAAAGGTTCATTAAACAAGAATTATTTTTCTTAAAAGAGGAAAAATTCTTCTAAAATAAATTTTTTTTCTTAAAATAAGGAAAAACTTTCTTAACCTAGAATTGCGAATTTAGCTGTGTAATAATATATATCCTAACTGACATTTTTTATGAATGGCCCCTAAATCTTCCATTTCAGTTGGCAAAAGTAAATTAAAAAGAACATTATCAATTGAACATTTAAAAGTAATTCTAGATATGCATATGTAATGGAAAGAGCCAATTAAGTTAGTGAAAAAAAATAGGAAAAAGTAAAGCCGTTGAATTGTGGAGAAAGTTAGGTATATTTAAATTAAAATATTTCTATAAAGTTTCTATTTTGCATTTTTTCATAGCTGCAAATAGATTTTGTTTACGAAAAGCAAGCATATCTCATATTAGCAAATACTAATTAGAAGATTTTTATTGATAATGACAAAAAAAAAAAAAAAAAAAAGGATATTTCCACTTTATCACGAATTATTTATGAAAAATAAAGTTTTTTAAATGATAGACGAGAATAAATAAACTCTTATATTTTAAATTTCATCTGTAAAAATTTTTTTAAGAAGAAAAGTTTTTTTTTTAATGAAATTTAATAAATAATGAAAACTATTAGATACGACCACAAATAAAAAATTAAAAATTTAAATTTTTATATAAGACATCAAAAATTAAAAAAAACAACCATGAAATAGTCTTGCCTTATAGAGGGTTTACCGTGAAAGCGAGTGAGGGGGCAGGTCCTTATTGGCCTTTCAGGGCTCTCAGATTGAAATATTTTTTCACAAATTTATTCAAAAAATATTTTTTCTTAAAAACCTTTTTAGTACTAAAATGTTTAAAAGAGATAGAGAGAAAATAAAATCAAGGTAAGTGATTAAAAATAAACTTTTCCAGATTTATTGGTTGCAAAAAGAAGTAAAAAAAAAGCTAAAAGTATGGAAATCCTAATAATGATTTTTAGATATTCAATTAAAAACTGAAACGAAACTGAAACGAAAACTCGTATAAGAGAATACCTAATATAGGTATACGAGTTTATAAAAATAAAACACTATTTATTATTCTAACAAATCTAACTTAAAAATAAAAGCGGTAATCTTCATTTCTCTTTTAAGTCTACTTCAAATATTGACTTGTTTAGTATTTTATCTATAATTTTGAGTGATAAAGACAAATAACATTTACACAGTGTTAAGTAGTTATAATATCTCGTGAATTTCATTCTTTAATAAATGTGATTCTGCGATCAGTGTTGAGGTTAGTGTTGCTTTTAATTAAAGCGCAACACCTTTTGATTTTATTTGATGTTAAATCGATAACTTAATTTTTTTTTAAAACAAAACTTCGATTTTAAATTAATTCGAAAATCAAGTAAAATCTATCAAAAATATGGAAACCGATCTTAACAATAATAACATTACAGTTAATTCAGCGAATAACAAATCTTTAAAAATAAATAAGGTTCAATTGCCTAAAAAAGTTGGAGTTAGCGGAGAATTAAAATCAGGACGAGAAGCTGTTGTTGGATTACCTAACGAAATTGCTTTAGTTAAACTTATGGATCAAAGTGGATATCCTATAACACAAAACAACGGCCAAAGAAGATATGGTCCTCATCCGTCTTATAAAGGCACGTATATTATTAGTAGTAATAATAATAATAAAAAAAACAAAACAAATAATAACTAAACAACGACAACAACAAAAACAACAACAACAATAATAAAAATAATAACAATAATAATAATAATAATAATAATAATAATAACTATAAATATTTTTAGAATTTTTATTTAAATGTTTTTGATTTTGTTATTATGTAATTATAATTTGAGTTGTTTTTTATTTTGGTTTTTAAATTTTTTTTTTCAATCAAACTAAAAAGTTTTTTGTTAAGGAAGGATTTTTTTTTATCTTTTGATACACGTATGCAATTAATGTAAAAAAATAGCATGTTACTGTGAAGTGAAATAAAGCTCATGCACGCGGCGAACAGTTGAACAAACATTATTTGGCGGAGAGATTCGATATTGCCTCGATGTTCCAGTGTACGAATGTAAACCCCTTAACACATCTGTTATTTTCGTTTTTTTGTTATAATCGTCTTTTCCGTATTGATATTACAATATTTATCCATTAAAGATTGCGTTTTTAGGAGTTCAGTTTTTTAACTCACAAGCATCCTTTGTGCAAAATAATTTTTGATCTCAGAATAAGATGCTAATTATTTTATTGAGAAAGAATTTCGCGAAAAGTTCTACATTTTAATGACCCTAAGTTAGAATCCAAGTTAGTCTTTTAGATTTTTTTTTTATGTGTGAAAAATACCTTTTATATCAATGAACTTAATTATTATTATCATTATTATCAAACTACAACGACATCGTCGCAAGAAATGGCTATATAAAGACCATTTATGGAAGTTGTAAATATGCATTTTTTATATAATTGTTTTTAAAAATGTTTGAGTTTTGACAGTATACTGGCAGTTGATTCCATTGTTTGACTGACAGTATACTGGCAGTTGATTCCTGTTTGTGAAGAAGTTGTACCGGATATCAGACTTGTTTTGTTCTCTGGTTAGAAAGTTTTGTTGTCTTGTGCCATGATTGTGTTTTTCTTGGGTTAAACTAGAATATAAGTTTATTTTGTCCATTTTTAATTTTTAAATAGTTCTCTACCATGCTTTTTAAAACCAGATCACTGTAATATCAATGATTATTATTCAGTGTAAATGTATTGAGGGTAAGATAAAGTTTAAATAAAAATAATTTCATGATGTATATATGTATTTAGTGTATGATAAAGGCTAGATTAAGATCTGTATAATAGATGCAAAATTATGAAATAATAATATGTTGCATGTATTATGTTAATTATATGTAATATGTTGTATGTGCAATATTTTTGCTGGTTCAAGGCCACAATGCAGTGTAAGGTCACATTATATATATATATATATATATATATATATATATATATATATATATATATATATATATATATATATATACATATATATATATATATATATATATATATATATATATATATATATATATATATATATATATATATATATATATATGTATATAAGTCATCAAAGTTATTGTATTTTTATTGTTATGTATTTCTATTTGTGTGATTTAAATATTTCTATTAGCAAATAGTTAGTCACTGTTTTTATAATTTTAAGCATGTTACAACATAAGTAAATGATTTTTTTTTAGGTACTCCACCCCCTAGGGGCTGTGAAGTTTTTGTTGGTAAGCTCCCTCGGGACTGCTATGAAGATGAGCTTGTTCCAGTATTTGAGAAAGTTGGAACAATTTATGAGCTTCGTTTAATGATGGACTATAATGGACAAAACAGAGGTTATGGATTTGTTATTTACCTCTCTTCACGTGATGCACAGAGAGCTGTTCGTACACTTAACAACTATGAAATCAGGAAAAGCAGATTAATAGGAGTGTGTCATAGTGTTGATAACTGCCGGTTGTTTATTGGTGGTATACCAAAAAAAGTAAAAAAGGATGAAATATTGGAAGAAATTTCTAAAGTTACTGATAGTGTTGTTAATGTCATTGTTTATCCTAGTGCTACTGATAAATCTAAAAATCGAGGTTTTGCATTTGTGGAGTATAACTGTCATCGATCTGCAGCAATGGCTAGAAGAAAACTAATGAATGGAAAAATACAGCTTTGGGGACATCCTATAGCAGTTGATTGGGCTGAACCAGAACAAGATATTGATGAAGACATAATGGATCAGGTTAAATATTAAACTTAATAAAATAATATTAACTTGGATTGTTATAATTTATTTTAATATTAACTTGGATTAGTTTAATTTATACATATTCCATTATTTTCATTATAAGCTTACTTAAGCTAGAAAGATAAATATTTAAATTTTATTGTTTGAAAAACGTGATATTTTAAAAATTCAATAAATTATCGTAGTGATTAAAAGTTTTAATTTGAAAAAAGACTTTTGATTAATTATATCATGTAAAAAACTTCAGGGAACCTGTAACAACCTGCTATGTTTAACGTACAGTATTTAATTCAGACCGGCAAATCAATTACAAAGGCATGCAGTCTCAATATACTTAAGGATAAATATATATATATATATATATATATATATATATATATATATATATATATATATATATATATATATATATATATATATATATATATATATATACATATATACATACAAAAAGTTCTGAGTTTGATTTCCACCATGTCCCATTTAGTACCGTGTTCAACTTGTTTTTTCGTGCAGTGGTCTCGTTTGTCAAGGTTTGTGTTTTGGAGTTATAGAGTTGAGAGAGAGTTGTATCCACAACTAAAATTAGCCTCCTTGACAGTAGTGGCTTTCATGGCCTTGGGGAGGTGAGTTGAATTAAAAAATTAAAATATCTACTTTCTTACATTAATTTATATAGCTTTTTTCTAAACAAGAAGAAAAAAACAAAGAGTAATAAAAAAAAGATTGCTGTTCTATGCCAAATCCTTTTTGTAGCTGCACTTCCTTGAGGCAGCAGGGTATAAGATAGTTTATGTATATACTGAAGCCCCTGGCAGCAGGCTATTTCAGTGTGATATAAGATATGTTATCTAAATAGGCATTCTTACAGGCCTTGTTTTAAAAAAAAAAATGACTTAGCACATTAGCTCGTAGTGATTTTGACATCATAAAATTATCTTCATTTTTTTATTAACTTTTTTAAACTACCACAATAAAATAAATTACAGCAAAACAAGTTTATTTTACTAATTAAAAAAAACAAATCTAGAAGTTTTATTTTGTAAATGTACATAATATGGAATGTCTATTTTGTTTTCATTTTTTTTTAATTTTAAATAATTAAATTTAATAATACATTTTTTATTATCATTTAACATAAATTAAATTTTTTTTTCTCTCGATATTTGTATAAATAAATTATAATATGTTAATTTTTTTTTTCTCATTATTTCTTAAAATTATGGCTTTGCAAATAATGATTTTTTACTTTTAAAAAGTTATTAACAGACTAAAGTATTACTTGTTGCAACGAAAAAAAAAATCAATTGCTTTACCAGCACTTTTTTTTTGTTACAAACAATGATTTAAGTTTCAAAGTATCATTTATTAAAAAATATATACCGTTGTGCTTTCACTTGCCTTAAGACAAAAAAACTTAAATGTACGCTTTATGAATATTTTTGATGGAGTATTATAAGTTATAACATGCATCAAAAGTATTATATTTACAAGGAATTTAATTTTTTTTATAAAATAGAAAAGGAGAGAGAATAACAAGAACTTTTTTTTTAGCATTTAAATAACATTTTAAATCAAGTCTTTCTAAATTATAAAGAAGTTTCTGTTTTCACTTCTTTGATATTGCACAATCTGTTAATTATATAAAGCTATTATGTAACTATTATAAAATATTATTTATCTAAACTATTATTTTTCACAAAATAAAACTGATAAATATAAACAAAGAGTTATATTGCTTCAAGCGTTTAAGCAAATGTTAATAATATAATTATATCCATAACATATAATAACAAAATTTATGGATATAAGAGACTTTTATATCCATAAAAGAAGTTTTTTTTTTTTTAATTATAAAAAAAAACTCTTTATAAGACATGGTAACTGGACAAATAAACAAATAAAATTTAATGTGTACTATTTTTTTTAGCTAATAATTTTTTTTTATATACACATTTTTAAATTCAGTAATTATTTTTGTTATTGTATGTTATGAGAAATTGTCTAAATAAATATTCTTGCTCTTGCAAGATGATAAATGTGTTTTAACATGCTTTTTTATGATTATTTTTTTTTAGTGTCCTATCTTTTATTTTTTTATTTTGCTGAAATTTTCGATGGAAAGTTAGAATAATAAAAATAAAATTTTCTTTGTTTTTTCATTACTTACATTACATTTGTAAATGCGCGAATATCATATGTAATTTTTATGCAAACCTTTTTACGTAATCATCATTCAAACTTCAAAAGTAGTTTTTATAACGTTAACTAATTCTTTTATCTAACCACTTAAGCAATATCTTTAGACTTGTTTAAATATTGAAAAATGATTAAAAATGGCCATACCAAAATGGCTTACTTTACCGCTTACATTAAATGACTTAGCGCTTACATAAATGGCATGTCAAACTTTATTTTGTATGTATAAAATTTTTATTTGGATTTATTAAAATTTAATTACTATAAAAATATTACCATGGTTACATAAAATAGAATAAATAGTTACAAGGTTTATAATAAGCTTAAATATATAATGTAGGAGATATTAATATAATAAAAGATATAAAACTTGATATGAGTCTAGTGTAGAATAAAAAAAAAGGGGGAATTGCGAGGAAAAGTATGCAGCAATTATAATGTAATGATAATGGTATAGTTTTTTACCTGTATGTTGAGCAAGTTTTTCAATTTCAATATTATTACTTGCTTTGATTGTAAGTTAGAGGATGCTTTGTCAAAAATAAAGAATGAGTTAGTACCACGGCCTTCTATAATAACAAGTCTTGGCACAAAATTCTGTAAAAACTAAAGGTTGATTAAACTTTTATTACTTTTATTAATATATTTTTATATAAGGTGGGGTGTAAAATTAGTCTATGTTTTCTAATAAAAATAAAGACAGAAATATAAAAGGAAAACCAAAAAAATTGTTAAAAGGTAATTGTATTTTTGGTATTTCAAATTTCATCAAAAATATCAATGTAATATTAAATAATTTCAATAACAAGCATAAACATAGCAATCATTGTTATATATTATATATACATTTTCAGGCCTCTTGCCCACAGTCACCTAAAACGGTTTATGAGAGCAATTTACTTTCTCGCAAAAGTATAATCTTTCTCGCAAAAGTGTAATAATCGTTGTAATTAAAATAAAAAACACAATGTCATTTTGAAAAAAATTAATTGCATAATATACTACAATGCTTTTTAAAAAGCACGGTTGCTGCAAAAAAAAATTAAATTAAAAAAAAGCCCCGATTTAAAGAGCAGCTCGCACAGCTCCCCATATTCGTTTTAGAAGAGTTTTTCTCCTCTCTCGTGCTCATTTTTTCCTGCCGAGGCATTTTACATATATACATTGTTATACATTATACATTGTCAATGTTATACAATTATACATTGTCAATAACTATATATTAGAAAGACTTTATTTTTTTTGCTTACAGAAACAATAAAAAAAAGGTAACAATGAAAATCACCAACAATGAAAAACTAACAAAATCAATTCATGCAAAAAAAAAGTTTTATCAATATATTTCAGCAGGAAAAATTTTTACTAATTCAAAATATATTGAAAGACATAAAGGCTGCAAAAGAAATAAAACACATAACACGAAAATAGCAAAATAAATTACAAAAGTAATTTTCACATAAATTATGATTTAGTATTTTTGTTTTAAAATCATTGCTGGGAGTGGTAATTAGTGTGTAATTCTTTAGCAAAATATTAGAATATATTCTACATTGTTTTTTTGTGATTTTAAAGTTATATTCAGCTGCTATGATCTGAAACTGAGTAATACAAATTTTCTGCATAAAGGGCCAATAGTACCTTGCAAAATAAAAAGCAAAATATTGACCACTGGGCAAGACTACTAGCAGAAATTTCCATATTTATTATAATAATTGGTAGTCTCATCATAAATTTCTATTTCGCATTTTTGCACATAACCGGCTATGTAAACTATAGCCATTAATGTAGATTTATTAATTGAGCTTTTAAGATCATGCATCCAGCAGTTATTTTTTCATCAGTAGAAATATCACTACAACATATGTTGCAAGTATGATCATCAAAACTGATATCATCTATACCATCTACAAGATGAATGCTGGGATGGTCTATGATATTTTAAAATGTAAAATTCAACATTATAAGAAAATAAAAAAGGAAAAGTGTATAGAATACTCAGCTTTTAAGTTATGATTTACATAAACATTATTAATATGAATTCTTTTGTTTTTTAGGAAATTCAATAAATAATTATTAAAAACTTTCAATTTGTAGTATCAATTTACATGTTTAGTATGTTGAATATGAATTTTTTCAATTACAGATTTAGCATTTGTAAAGTAAGTACCAGATCCCTGTCAAAAAAGCTTTTTTACGTGGATCTGTTAAAAACCAACAACAAGATCAATAAACTGCAGCATATATGCGCTATTGTATTGCTGTTATCTAGTGTAAGCTGTTTTACAAATCAGCAATATCTTGTAGCAGTTTTTTTTTTTTTTTTTTTTTTTTTTATTTGCATTCACTCCTAACAAGGCTGCAAGCAACCACTATTAAGTTGGGAGTTACTAGGAAAAAAAAAAGAACAGAGTTATAGAGCAAGGAAACGGTTGACAGAAGACTTAAAAAATTGAAGGTTGTATGAGTCAGGAAAACATGAAGATGGGAGAGAGTTCCAAAGGATTGAAGTGCGGGGAAAAAAACTAGATGAATAAAAGTTTTTAGAGCATGCAGGGACAGATACAGAAAACGAATGAGACTTGGCTGAATGACGAGTAAAACGAGAATGAATTTTAGTTGATGGAACTAGAGATGATAACTCCTTTGAGCAGTGACCATGATAGTATCTGTAGAAAAGAGAAAGAGATGCAACTTTACGACGATGGGAAAGAGGTTCAAGCTTAGCAGATAGTCCAGGTCCAACAACATTTACAATGTGTTTTTGGACCTTGTCAAGAAGAGAAATTGAATCGTTA